GTTCCGGCAAACGCGCACGCTCATTTAAAACACCTCATCGGTCTTGCTGCAAGGACTGTGAACGTTCACAAGACCTGGGTCTCAATTCTGCTATTCTAATATTGTATCAATAGACTGTCGATGGAATGTCGTCAGCATAATTTTTGCACTTTTCGTATTTCACTAATTATGTAAGATCAATGGCACGATGACTTGTCACTGAACTACCATTGATACAAATGTCATCGATGTCTTTGTAATAGTTTGGTAAGTGGTAAATTTTAAATTTGTAAGAAAATTATCGAGTCAGGCCACCTAATGTACTTCCGCGAGGGAGACCAATAATCCCAAGGTGGCGTTGGGTTTCTGGTAAATAAGTCCCTATCTGACAACGTTGTGGAAATTTCCAGTATGTCGAACAGGGTAGCGTACCTCATTATCAAGCTCACCGAGAGGTATAGCCTCAAGGTTGTGCAAGTGTACGCACCGACCTCGGCACACTCGGACGACGAGGTGGAGGATATGTACGATGACATATCGAGGGCCCTCCACTTCATAACTAAGACCCACTACAACGTTGTTATGGGTGACTTCAACGCTAAAGTGGGTGTACAGAATTGCGGCGAATCGGTGGTAGGATCCCATGGATTTGGAAGCAGGAATCATAGGGGGCAAATGCTGGTCAACTTTCTCGAACGGGAGGGGCTCTTTTTGATGAACTCTTTCTTCAAGAAACAGCCCCAAAGGAAGTGGACGTGGCAAAGCCCCGACGCTATGACCAGAAATGAGATCGATTTCATCATGACGGATAGAAAGCACATATTCAGAGACGTCTCAGTGATCAATAGGTTTAATACTGGTAGTGATCACCGACTTGTCCGGGGCTCTCTGAATATCAACTTTAAGGCGGAACGTGTCTGTTTGATGAAATCCAGGCTCCGACCGACTCTGCTCCAAGCCATGACAGGATCTGAAACGTTCCAGTCAAAACTGGAAAACCGATTCGCTGCCGTGGAAACCACGATCGACGTAAACCAGAACCTCGAAAATGTGGTTCGGATCCTCAGGGAAGAAGGTACGAGATTTTGGGAAATGCAGCGTAAGGGCAGGAAGTCGAAGCTTTCAGAAGGGACCCTAGGGCTGATGAAGAAACGACGTGAAAACCCACCTGTCACTTTGTCGGCAAAGTGGACTCTAAGCCGAGAGATCAGTAAACTCGCACGACACGACCTCCGGTGCTCCAATACTCTTTCAATTGAAAGAGCGATCGAGCAAAATCGGGGGTCAAAAGTGTTCGTACAATCTCTTGGAAGAAGCCACCTGACAAATTTGACCACAGAAAGTGGAGAAGTCGTTGCTTCGAAGCCGGCAGTCCTTTTGGAAGTGGAAAGCTTCTATGGCCGATTATACGCTTCGCATGCATCTCGACCTGATCCCGAAAATAAGGACTCTAGAGCCACATTAACACGTCACTACACCGAAGACCTGCCAAAAGTTAGCATTGACGAAATCGAGATGGCTCTTGGACAGCTGAAAAATGGAAAAGCCCCTGGAGAGGATGGCGTTACAACAGAGCTGCTAAAGGCCGGGGGTAAACCTGTACTAAGGGAGCTCCAAAAGCTCTTCAACGCTGTCCTGTTTGAAGGGAGAACTCCAGAAGCGTGGAGTAGGAGTGTGGTCGTCTTGTTCTTCAAAAAGGGTGACAAGACCAGGTTGAAGAACTATCGACCCATATCCCTTCTAAGCCACATCTACAAGCTGTTTTCGAGAGTCATCACGAACCGTCTTGCGCAAAGACTCGACGAATTCCAACCACCGGAGCAAGCTGGGTTTCGGAGCGGATATGGCACCATAGACCACATCCACACAGTGCGGCAGATTATACAGAAGACCGAAGAATATAATCAGCCCCTGTGTCTAGCATTCGTGGACTATGAAAAACCTTTCACTCGATCGAGATCTGGTCTGTTCTGGAGTCCCTGCAACGTCGCCAAGTAGATTGGCGATACATCCAAGTGATGAGATGTCTTTACAAAGCCGCCACCATGTCCGTCCAAGTTCAGAATCAGCAAACAAGGCCCGTACCATTGCATCGAGGAGTGAAACAAGGGGACGTTATTTCCCCGAAATTGTTCACAAATGCAATGGAGGACATGTTCAAGACGCTATGGAAAGGGCTATGCTCGGCGTTTCTCTAAGGGATCGCATCAGAAATGAAGTGATCCGGCAGAGAACCAAGGTCACCGACATAGCCTACCGGATCAGCAAGCTGAAGTGGCAGTGGGCTGGCCATATTAGCCGCAGAACCGACAACCGTTGGGGAAAACGAGTTCTTGAGTGGAGACCGCGTCTCGGTAAACGTAGTGTAGGACGCCCACAGGCCAGGTCGAGTGACGATTTGCGCAAGATGGCTGGCAGGAGCTGGATGCGAGAAGCCCAAAATTGATCTAAGTGGCGTGCAATGGGAGAAGCCTATGTCCAGCAGTGGACTGCGATAGGCTGATGATGAAGAAAATTATATACTTTGATATCACCATTGAAAACCTATATTACTATATCGACAGTCAATTGACACTGTAAATTTATGTTAGTAGAATACTGATATTTTGACCGATGTCAATGGCGTCTTAATGGAATCTCAATAGCATGTCAATGGAATAACAGTGGCTTGGCGTTAACATAAAATAGCAGAATTAAGGCCCTGGCCTGACGTTCCTGAGTTGCAGTAGTTCTCGCCTCACGATCTTTTTCAGATTCCTGTGATCGAATTAATCTCATCCTTTTAGTATTTTTGCTGCACTGGGAGAGGTTCGATCTTTATACCTATAATGAACAATACCTACTAACACAACGTTATTTAGTAAACGTATACTTTATCATAAACGATTAAGTTGTAAGTACTTACAGATTTTTACTCATAATAAAAATTAGGAAATAATTAAAATCAGGAAAAATACTTTAGTTACTAACCTAACCTACTTATATGTATTTAAAGTTTAACAATTAGAACGTGTTACTCGTACCTGATATAAAATATATATCTACTATTGGAAACAAAAGAAATCTGTAATAGATTTTTTTATTTCAACTCCGTAATGTGTACAGATTGTTTTTAATTAACTACTAACCTAACCTAACAAAATAAATTACAAAAGAATACACAGAATACACTCAAATCGCCTCTTTACGTATAAACACATATTTATTTTATTAAAATAAACAACACTGTGTTATCATTATGGAGCGAGTGCTCTCTTACGTGCATTCGCTATGCAGCAGCGCGGCACTCGGCGCACTTTATATACGAGTACCTATCCGCATGCTGTGTCCAACCGATAAGCTCCCAGCCTGTTGAACCATGTTGATCTCTAGATCCACCTATCTGATTCTAAAAATTCTTTCAACGATGGAAAGCTAGACTCTTCCTGAGTGACATAGGTTATAGTAAATCATGAAAAATAATGTATATCAGTGTAAAATATCCACATTTGTAAACCAAGACGGAGGAAAATTTTTAAGTTGCACGTTTTATCGGCGTGCGTTGGGCAAATGGTCCCAATTAAAGGAATATAATGTATGACAAAAATATTAGTCTTTCGTAGATCTACAATAAAGTCCGCGGCACCATATATCTAACTCTTATATTTAAGACAGAATAAGGAGTTTTTTGTTAAAAGAAAAAAAAAAATTTAGTCATGTTTAGGTGAATTTATATCGTTCATTATATGCGTGTGTATAAAAAAAGAGTTTCGTCACTACGAATTTTTTTTAAACAACATTTGTCTTTTACTGCATTTAATTTGAGTGTATAGATGAGGAGATAAATTGATATAAACGCAAGACAAACGACAGTGATTTATACGTGATTGATGAAATTGATTTTTTTTTTATTTGTGGACCGATTGAAATAAAACAAACACTAAATTATAAGTGAAGTTTACCACAGACCACAATACATTAGTGAAGACCGCATCCAATCGGTTAAGCCCTTTCTGAAATTAGCGCGCACAAACGCATAGACAAACAGATAAACAAACAAAACAGATAAAAAATCTAAAAACTGTTGTTGTAAGAACTTACGAAATGAAGAACTTATGAAAGCAATAGAACATTGCTTTCATAAAGACCCCCTTCATTAGTTTTTCTTCAATATCTTCAATGTACAGCCATCGACCTGTTGCAATTATATTATATATATATTTACTTATTGACGACGATGAAATGATTATATTTTTAGGATAACCAATATATATAAGAACTACTACTTATTTTGATAGAAAACTTACTTGCTTCAATAAGTAGGAATTGAATAGTTCATAAACTCATAGTCTGGCACCATAAAAGTTTATGAACTATTCAACTCCCTACGTAACGATGATGTAGCTACAACAAATAAATGAAATAGATGATCTTCTCTCTCATCTCATTTCTCGTCTTTTATATCTTATTTATATATATTATATATATTATACTTTATTTTACAGCTTCAACTGATAAATAACGTAATGTTATGCAACACAAGGCAACCAAAACTTTTATAGCTAACTGCCGTTACCTGTTACTTTCAGTGTACATAATCTTGATCGTATTTCATCTAATTGAATGGTGAACATAGCATAGAAGGCCGGAAGAACGTAAGTGCGTTGCTCCCTAAAATAAAAAGTTTGAGCTTACCTCTCAGAACTGCTCGGGCGATATGTCACGATATATTCAATTCCAATTCAAATTGACGTTTCTGGAAACCAAACCGTTTAAAAAAAACTCGTTATGCGTCACATTATGCCAAGTTTGATGGACTACAGGTTTGCTAAATACCCATGGCTATGGCTATATTAAAAATCCCTATTTTTATTGTTGTTCAACAATAAATAAAATATCAGAAATATACCTGTGCATTAAGCATGATTTATCATTAAATCTTATCGATTTAATGATGCAATGCACTATCATTGCATGTTACGGTATAAATTCGCTTGCATTTAAAACTTATTTACTCTGCTATCAGACAGCAAGGTATCGACATGCATCTCATCACACTGTTGGCCGTTTGCATTGCGGCTGTTGCCGGTAAGTTGGTTAAATATATCTGTCTTTTAAACTATATTTATTAATTATTTTGTTTCATAACACTTTTAAGTTTGATTGATTTTCATTCAACTAAGAAAGTAAAATCACGAGTAGTACAGATTATTGTCGGTGCTGGGCTAGCTGCCTAAATAGTACATTAGAAGTGCTCAGGCTATGTCCCTATACCATCTACCCCTTTCTGACCATACTGTATGGTCGTCCAGATTGACATTTTTATCTTGTTTTAAATGATAAGTTCACGATCACATAGGAAAATTGTTTTGAACAATTAATTGTTAAAATGTACTTAACTACACTCGACAAGCGTACAAAGGCAATAAACAACTGTATTAATATTCGAATATCAAATTAAACTGTAACATTGCTTGGTGTGTGTTTTACAAATGCAGTACCAAGAATTATTTCGTGTTGTATATATATATTTTACAGAACTGCGTTCACCGGTACAAATGTCTTTAACCCTTGCCACACATAACATTGATTTGAATTTTTCAGCATCCCCGGAAACCTTTGAACCATCTCAGAGGATCGTAGGTGGCACAGTTACGACTATTAACCAATGGCCTTTCAAAGCCAATGTTATGGCTGGAAGTGGCAATAACTTTCGACAGTGGTGTGGCGGTACCATCATTAACAACAGAAACATTTTAAGCGCTGCTCATTGTGTTCGCACACCGACTATGTAAGACAAATATTATCTATTTTAGAACTTTGGTCGGATTTCTTTTGTACATTTGAGAATATTATAAAATCTAACCACATTTTTTTTAGGAATCTGGGAGCTCATCAGATGCGTTTGCGTCTTGGTTCAACCTGGGCCAATAGCGGTGGAGTTGTTCACAACGTTGCCCAACTCATTATTCACCCAAGTTACAACATGTGGACCATCGATAGTGATATTATGCTTCTGCGCAGCAGTAGAACAATAGTTTACTCCAATGTGATTCAACGTGGAATAATCGCCGGCCCTAACTACCATCTCCAAGACAACCAAGTAGTTTGGGTACTAGGCTGGGGTGCTCAATGGGTAAGATCATTACATTTAAATATATTTATCAACATATTATCAATAGTCAAGAAATATTTTAATTGATAAATCTTGAAGATGCATAACAGTGTTAAATATAATATCTGTATCACTATAGCATTACTTAATTACCTTATCGCTTTTAATTGTTCATTTTTATTGTGTTTGTATTGTGTTGCTTTATAATTTATTTTTTAAATTAACACTTGCTGTTAAGATGAACAGGAAGTGTTGGTGTAGTTAATTATTAGATGGTAATTTATATGTCGAAGCTTTTTATTGGCAATTTAAGCGTGGAGAACGACTAGGATAATGTATGTAAAAACGTACCTTCGCAGCGTAGTACAAATTATCCAAAACTTTATCAAAAACATGTTTTGTTTGTTTTTTAGTTTCAAGGACCTTTCTCAGAGCAGCTCCGCCAGGTGCAAGTTTATACCATCAACCAGAACGTTTGTGCACAACGCTACGGAGGTAACACAATCACCGCTAACATGCTGTGCACCGGTGTGCTCAACGTCAGCCGTCGTGACGCGTGTCAGGGTGATTCCGGCGGTCCCGTTTTCCACAACCGCGTTGTTGTTGGTATTACCTCTTTTGGTCGTCAGTGTGAACTCGCAACCCACCCCGATGTCAACGCACGTGTATCTCGCTTTTCTAACTGGATTCAAGAAAATTCTTAAACCCCCTCAAAACTTCCAACAACAATACCTACCATGAAAATATACAAATGTATAAGCAGTAAATAAAAAAGTTTTAACAACCCCGAACACTGCAATTATTATTTATGTGGTAACCCAATGTTATAATACTTCATTATTGTTCCGTACTACATATAAGACAAACTACGTAGTTGTCCAAGGGTATAGAGGTAAACACACTACCGTGGGAGAGCTATGCTTCAGCACGAAGCATGCCTCTCCTTACCGGAGTGATTGCACGTCTGACAGCGTGAGAGTTACCGGAGCCCAAATTCCCCCTCCCGCTGACTCGAGCGGGAGGGACTCCAAGGGCAGCAACGCACTTGTGACTTTTGAGTTGCAGGTGTCCATGGTGCGGTAGTTGCTTACCATCAGTGACCTGTCTGCTCGTTTGCCCCCTTATACGATAAAAAAAACACGGCTGGGAGGATAAGCTGATGTCACAAAACTAAAGTAATCGGAAACTGTTTCTATATCTACTGCGTCGTGGTGTTGGTATCAAGAGTATGACATATAACATTTACTACGGCTAACGTTAGGTTCGGTTAATTGAATTATATTGCTGACCATAATTGATAATAAACTGATATTGTAAATTCAGATACTAAATGCAATTACATCGTCAAAATAATATCGTAGTCTTCGATCAACAATAGCAACTAGATAAAGGGTCACGTACAAAGTCAAAGCTAAATGCTGTCCGCGTGAATATATACTTATGCAGCTACATTTGTTTACCAACAAACGGATGTAAAAGTTTTAAAATAGTTTGAAGTTCAACCTAATTACAACTATGGTACACAGTTATAAAGTTCAAATCTTCAAAATATTATCTAATACTTACGATCATTCCTTGCAAAAAACGAGCAAAGGAATAAATTACTCCTATCACTTTCAAACGAAAAGACATAACTTAAATAACATTTAGTGTAAAATCACCCTTATCGTGCAACAAATAAAGTACTTTTTCTCGTTATTGCCTTGAGAGCTACATCGTTTTGTTTTGTTTATTTTTGCTTCTTAGAGTTCTACTACAGAAGGTATGGAGTCGCGTTGAACACTAAAATAATTTATAATATTAACGTAAAATATTAGTTGCTTACTTTTTATGTTTCGGACATCTATGTATGTTTGTTAGTATCTTTACATTACTTAATATTTTATTAACGTTACGTTTTTGTGTAATATGTATCTGTATTTACTTTATCACATATAACGTGGTACTCGTATTTACAAAAGCCATTTAGACGGATACAGTATTAGTCGTTATCAAAATACATTCATACACATTATAATAACCCTTTACACCATACAATTTAAATGAATATGTTAGGAGATATCTTAAATTAAAAACTACGCTCGAGTGAATAAATTCGCGTATAAAACTCATCCAAACCAGCAAGCTAATGCAAAAAAATGTAGGCATTTAATGCTTTAAGCGACCCGCCCTGACACCAAAAGCAGGACCCGCACAGATATACTAAATAAAATATCTCTAAATTCCACATCTTTTTATGACACCTACTACTAAGTACTTATGTATGTGTATTTGCTGGTATGTATAAGTATTTGTTTTTATGAATATAAATATGTATATGTATTTATATGTATTTGCGAATGTGTATATTTATTATATTACATTGTAGATATTATCTCTTTTATATTCGTTAGTATTAACCTGAAAAACTCATTTCACCATCAACTACTGCTATCTTTCCCGAACATTTCGATCCATCCTAAGGTTGCCTGGAAGATTGTAGAAGACATTGTATATCTAACACTTTCATGTAACTATCATGCTTCTTGTAAAATGGTGTACAAATAAAGAGTTCTATCTATCTATCTATCTACTGCTAAAAAAAATGACTCACTTGCACTTCATCTGACATTGAGAGTTTAGTATTGGGTGCTGCCAATTGTGGGTCGTTCTGCGGGGATTGAATCTGTGTTTTTGAAAAGACTCTTTAATAATAGATGTACAAATGGATCCCCAGGAGCCTTAATTAAAACCACTGACTCTTTACAACTAGTTTTATTAATCACTAGGTAACACTGTACACAATAGGTAAAAGGATGTTCGTTCAATACAAAGAAATCAAATCAATTTATATTGATTGCGGTAACGAAACCATAACGCGATTTAGCCAAACAGCACAGCGACATCTATCGAATGTAACATATTTCAATTTATACATTCCGCCCACCAAGGACATATTTATAAAACTATGTCCTTAATAATGTAAAATAACTGATTCCGCCCACCATGAGGTAAAGGGGATTGGTAAGCAAAACTAATGAAATCCGCCCACCATGAGGTCAAGGGGGATATGTGGTAAGACTTACGACTACAAGCTATACTACTGAAACTTACAACTAGATTATCATTCTGCTATTGGCAAAATACACAATTTATTTGTTGGCCGTTTAAAAACAGAATCCTTGCATTTCAAAGTTACGACTCTAGTGATTCCGTCCGAACCCGGGTGTTTTAATAAAACCCTACCGAGTAACCACCTACCAGGAGGCAGATTGTCTTCCTTGATCAGAACCACATCACCTATCTTTGGTTCAGGTTCCTTTTGGGACCACTTATAACGGTGCAACATTTGGGTCAGATATTCCTGAGACCAACGTCGCCAGAAGTCTTGTGTCATTTTTTGAAGCAACTGCCATCTTTTCAGTGTGCCTACATTAGAGTGTTCATAGTTACGATCCGGTGCAAGAATCAACGGCTCTCCTATCAAAAAGTGACCAGGTGTAAGGGGCATTTGGTCTTCTGAATTTTGCCAAATTTGAGAAATTGGTCTAGAATTGAGACACGCCTCAATTTGGACCAGAAGAGTAGACAGCTCCTCGTAGGTGAGAGTGGAGTCGCCAATGACTCTCTTCATGTGATATTTAGTTGATTTAATGCATGCCTCCCAAAGACCACCAAAATTTGGAGCGTGCGGTGGTATAAAATGCCACTTAACACTGTTGGAGCTGAGCCAATCCCTAATTTCATCAGCGACCAATGACTGTTCCGCATTTACTAGGCAGCGTAACTCCTTGGAAGCACCTACAAAATTCTTTCCGTTGTCACTCCAAAGGTCACTGCAGTGACCTCGTCTGGCAATGAATCTTTTAAACGCTGCAATAAAAGATAGTGACGTGAGATCGCTTACGACCTCCAAGTGCACCGCTCTCGTAACCATACATACAAACAAAGATATGTATCCCTTATAGGACTTGTTGCCGCGACCTTTGGACACTCTAATATTGATTGGACCTGCGAAGTCCACTCCACTGTGTACAAATGCTCTGGCTGGTGTAACTCTGCACAAGGGTAATTGTCCCATGAATTGGTTTTTAAATTTAGCTGAGTGTCGGAGACAAGTTACACATCTACGTGCAAATGATTTGACTGTGCCTTTTGCCGAGATTATCCAGTATTTCGAGCGCAAGTAATTCAACATTAGAGTGGGTCCTCCATGAAGTGTTTTTCTATGGGCTTCATCAACAAGCAGGCCAGCTAGGTGACTATGTTGAGGAATAATAATGGGGTGTCTCATGCTTTCAGAGAGTTGAGCATGTTCTATTCTTCCTCCTACTCGCAGTATTCCTCGTGAATCCAGTATGGGACATAGTGCCTTTAATTTGCTTTTAGTCTTAACTCTTCCTGATCTCTTAACATCGTCTATGTCTTCACTAAATGATTGCCGTTGAAAATCTCTAATACAAATTTCCAGGGCCTCATCTAATTCCTCGCTGGTCAGGTAAGTGTGTCCTTTCCTATTTATTTTAAAAAATCTTCTGCAATACGCCACAACTCGGACCTTGGTCGTCGTTTTATCCTCCCGAACTACGGCGTGGTGAGGTAAGTACACAGCCTTCGTTCTCTGAGTGTCCGTTACGGGATTGATTACTTCTATGTGACCAAGGTCGAGGTATTCTTGAATGACCTCAGTATACTTCTGTTTCATCTCTGGATCCTTCTTAAAACGACGTTCAAGAAGGTGAAATCGTCGAAGCGCAATGTCTCTGGTATGGCCGTATTTGCACTGTGGGTCTGAGTCTCTAAATGGTAAACTGACAACATACCGACCAGTGCTGTCTCGTTGAGTGGTTTGCTTGAAGAAGTCTTCGCATAACTGCTCTTCCTGGGTAAGTATTTTCTTCTTACTGTATGCGTCAGATTCGATTTCCCAAAATCTTTTAAGCATTTCATTGTCACTGATCTGCGAATGCATGCTTACCAATGCCAGGTGACAATGTGCTGAATCCAAATTCGAATCTCTGTGTGTTCGACCATACAAAATCCAACCTAACCGTGTATTTTGTGCTATCAAGGGTCCAAGAGGGTGCTTGATTAAACCCTCTTTGAGTACCTGGCCATAAACTTCAGCTCCAAGCAAAATATCGATTTTGTTTGGATTGTGGTACTCTGGATCTGCTAAAACTATTTCTTCTAGTTGATGCCACGTTGGTACTAATACTTTATCACCTGGAAGTAACGATGTAATATTGCCCAAAACATATGCCTGAACTTGGATGTGAAAATTAGGATCGTGACGTGATTTAATAGTTACGAAAACGATAAACTTGGAGACCATAGCTCCACCATCACCTCCTATGCCTGAAATGACACCTCTTGCGGGTGTCTTTTTGAGTCCAAGTAACTGAACTGCTGATTCGGTTATGAACGACGTCTGGGATCCTTGATCCAATAACGCCCTCAGCAGGTGGTTGTATCCGTTGCCTGTCTGTGCTTCGACAAGAGCGGTTGCTAATAAGACCTGATTTGGAACAGCCTTCTTACTAAAGTGAGTGGTTATAGCGGCAGCATTTAATTCCTGCACCGCATCGGAAGCAGTACTCGATGTAGCTACTGCCGACTTGACTACTGACGTCGTCTCTGCAATGCCTCTAGACGACGTTGATCCTGAGGATTCCTTAGGGTGTAATAAAGAGTGGTGTTTGCGATTGCAAATCTGACAAGTGGTGGGGACACGACAAAACTTAATAGAATGATTCGACCCTAAACAATTAAAGCATAAGCCACTAGTTCGAACGAAATCACTACGTGTTTTATAGTCATTTTTACAAAACTGTTTACAGTGACTAAGTTTGTGGGGTTGTTTACAGAATGGACAGCTTGCTTTAATAGGGGTATCGTTTTTGGAAGCAACCGCATGAAGAACTCTTGGTTTGTAACTTGACCTTTGTCTACCACTCTGTGTATCCAAGTACTCTAATGACCGAAATCGAGACTCTAGAAACGTTTTAAATTTGTCAAATGTTGGTAATTCCTCACAGGTACCAACCGTTGACTCCCATAATTTTCGTGACTCGCTATCTAATTTTTCGCTGATTAAGTATATTATTATAACATCCCAAGAGTCAACGCCAACACCAATAGTGGATAGGCCATTTATGCAGTCTACAGTTGTGCCACGCTGCCACTATACCACGCTGGCCAGACGGGTTGGTATAGGGTTTGTGTTAAGTTTTCCTTCTCTCTGCAGTGTTGTTGTCCTGCGTAGTTTGCTCCCTTAGTCGGCTCTTACGACACCCACGGGATGAATAGGGGTGGTGACCCTCTGTATTTACGTACGGCTTTCTATTTCCTGATAATACGTACGGCTTTCTAATTCCTGATAATAAGCAGTGTAATTGGTCTTTTATTGGAAACCAAAACCAAAACCAAACACTGTATAATGTATGACACGTGAAATCAAAACTATGATATTGATACTCACCATTCAATGGATTTTGATATTTTGATATTAAAATAGTATCCATCTTCTCCTTGCCAAAACATCAACGGGTATTGCAACGTGTCATATGAACGATGTGTTTCAGATATTTGTTGCAGTTGCTCAGTATCAGGATGGCAACTTCATCTATTGTTGGTGCGTTAAATGTGCGTTCGTGTGTTCCAGATGGTCGTTTATCCGCTCTGATCACGACTTTGCAGTCCTCATTTGGCATGCGCTCCAAACAGCCTGACCAACGCATTATGTTCATGAAGTAGTTGCTGTAGATCTAGAGCTCTTTTCATTGCCGCATTAATCTCTTGACGTCGATCAAGTTGTTCCTCCATGTTGCCCATGAAGGATATTTGTAAAAATTTATGCTGTGCATCTTGGAGAGATTGCAATGCTCCAATTCGATGGCGAATCTGTCCTTGTATCTACAAAATCAAAAGCAAAGTCAGTATTACTGATTTATAAACACTTTTTTTAGAATTAGCACACATAATACATAGGAGTAAGTATAGTATGTTATTCTTCTACTGTATTGTGTGTAAGTACAAAAATAAATAAATACTTTGAATGTCCTCGTTCTTCGATTATGTCTGCCTAACAGGCGGTACAATCTTAGTCGACTATCCTTGGAATGTTACGAAAATAATGAAACCAAATACTATGGTTTTTTATTTCTTCTAAAATTTTAACAACATTACGTACACTTCATTTAGGCGTATAATACGTGTGTACTTCGCCAGTCGATACTTATAGATGTCGTTACTTTCGGTATAATCCGCATAAAACATAAAGTGAGTTGTTTTAGTTTTTATTATCCCGGAACGTATATCACTATTTTCTGGAATAAAATGACTTTTGGAAATAAAATGTTGCAATTGTTTTTTTTATACATTGAGTTGGTAGTTATTTTGTATGATAAAATTGATAAATGTAGACTTATAATAAAATTTTTGAAAACTTTAAAATTTTTTTAGCACTTTAATACACACGATTCTAAGAAATCCTAACTTAGTGCCTGTATCATTTCATTATTGCCATTGTTTTGGTACTTTTCATCAGCGTTAATGCAGCAACATTTGCAACAGCTGTCGTTATGAATGTTGTCCGTCAACATGACATTCATACCGGCATTTTTTTGGAACTAATAACAATTATTCTCTGATATCTTCATTAAAGCGTGAGTTGAGCCTAGGTTCTTCTGATCTTTGTTATCCTTGTGTGTTGTTTTCGAGTAGTATTGAGGTAGAGACACTTATTTTTAACGCTTTATTTTTGTGTTGCAATGTCTGTTAAACGTTGTTGTCTTGAAAAGAAGAAAATAAACGTTTTTTTTTTTATACATTGTTTTATTTTACAAAGTTCTAATTGCGTATATAAAATAAACAATACTGTATACAATAAGTATTACCTATATTATAGATATGTAGGTATAAATATATCCTTTCAAATGTTGAGTAAGAGAAAAGTTGTTGCTCGCTCCTAACAGATGGCGTTGTTTTGTAATTTCCTCCAAAAGCGATTGAGATATACCTCTATTTCAGTATATTACAATGTACTCTGTGCTGCCTAATCAAACGGTCAACTCCAAAATTTCAAATTGTCAAATTTGCGGTTAGTTGCGTTTCGTTATTCCATGTCAGTTGCGTTTTGTTAGGCCATTTTTAACAAATGAACGTACTCAGTGAATAGTACTCACAATCACATTAGAAACAGAAAGTATAAAGTTTGAGTCTTAATAAGTGTAAAGACTAAATGCCATAGAATATTTCAATGGCATTGAGTCGATATCCCACAGTTTCATAGTGCAAATATACCTGTTTGATATGTTAAGATTATTCTTATTCTTATGTTATATTATGTTAATCCATCCCGTATTGATTCGATGCTGTACAGTTCGATCAATCTCACCATCACATTGTAAGAGGGAGCCGAGGTACTTGAAATTGGAGCAGACTGTTATCGCTTTCCCATCCAGCGAAATGGTTTCAGGACTGGAGAGACCGCCGAAATCGCAGAACATGTACTCAGTTTTGGTTCTGCATATTTTCAAGCCAACATTCTCCAGTCTTTGCTGCCATTTTTCCAGTCTGCTCTGGACCTCAACCCCATCTTCATCGACCAACACAATGTCATCTGCAAATAGCATGCACCAAGGTGCCTCCTCCTGTATGTCCGATGTCAGAGCATCCATTATCAACAGGAAGAGGTATGGGCTCAGAGCTGATCCCTGGTGCAAGCCTACAGATACACTGAATTGATCAGTGTAGCACGAATCAATTCTGCATACTTTACAGGCACTCTTTCTTCTTTCAAAGCCCACCACAAAAAATCTCGGGGTTCCCTATCATATGCCTTTTCGAGATCCACAAACACTATATGCAAGTTTTTGTGCGCACTCCTGTATTTCTCACATAGTTGGCGCATTGCAAATATAGCATCTGTTGTCCCGCGTCCTGGCATAAACCCAAATTGACTTCGCGTTATCTGACTCTCATCTTTTATTCTTCTCTCAATCACTTTATCCCAGACTTTCATAGTATGTGACATGAGCTTTATTCCTCGATAGTTGTTGCATTCCTGAACATCTCCTTTATTTTTGAAAATGGGTACGAGTTGGGTTTGACACCATTCCTTTGGGATTACCTCTTCAAGCAACAACATATTGAAGAATAGAGTCAGCCACTCATATCCGTCTTCTTTCAGTAGCTTCCAAACTTCCACTGGTATACCGTCGGGGCCAACTGCTTTTGCATTTTTCATACTTCGTACTGCCAATCTAACTTCATCTATACTAATCTCGTTTACCAGTCCAACATTTACATCCACATGCAACTCCGCACTCCGCTCCATTTATTCTCTTCATTCATAAGTTTTTCAAAGTAAGTTTTCCATCGCTTTTTTATATCTTTATCTTTAACCAATACTTTCCCCTCTTCATCTTTTATACATCTCACATGCTTCAGGTCTTTTGCTCTTTCTTCCCTGTTCTTTGTAATGCGGTAGAGTTCTTTTTGACCTCTAGGTTCATGTAGGTGTTTAAATATGTTATATTGAGCTTCAGCTCTGGCTAACGCTTATTTCGCCTTTTTCTTCCACTCTTTATATTCATTCATTTTGACTTCCTTCATTCTCTCACAGACCTTTTCATTTTTCCACGCTTTAAAGGCATCCTTCTTTTCGTTTAGAGCTTTCTGCACCTCATCACTCCACCACCATGTATCTCTTTCAATAATGCCTTTTCCTTTTGTTTCCCCAAGTACTTCTCTCCTATCTTTCGTATATAATTTGCCATTTCACTCGACCATCCATCCACAGACTTATCTAGCCTTGCATTCATTTCAATCATTTTTTTCTACCACTTTTACCTTAAAGTTACTTGCATACTCTTCTTTCTCTAACATTCGCCACCTGATTCTTGGAGAAGGTCGGTTCTTCCTACTCTTACTCAAACTCTTCCATTTGACCTCCATTACCAGCAATCTATGCGTAACTTAACCAATGTTATTGACAATTTTAAGGAAGACGAATTCTTAATAATGGGTGATTTTAATATGAGCAAGATTCAATGGATTCCAACAGATCAAGGCCTTCAGCCTTCAAATGCTAAAAATTTGCTCATAACTGCTAAACATTTTACGACTGCGATTTGAAACAATTTAATTATTGTAAAAACAGTGCTGGAGGATATTGGACCTTGTTTTGAGTAACAATATTCTGTCTGTCTGCACATGCCCTGATCCCTTAGTGCCTGAAGATTTCTACCATAAATCTCTCATTATTAAGTCATCGTTGTTGGAATTGGATGGCTTAGCAATCCCTAAACGAAATATTTATATGTATAATCGAGCCGATTATGATAAAATTTGTAATCACTTTTCTCAAACCGATTGGTCAATATTGGCAAATGCTTTGTCAGTCGAGGAAGCTGTAGAAATTTTCTATGGTATAGTATATAAAATAAGGGATAATTTTGTCCCTACACGTACCACGCTTTATCATAAATATCCCCCATGGTATAAACCATCGCTTATCAAAATGATTAAAGAAAAATTCAAATACTTGAAAAAGTTTAAAACATATGGTAATCTGTCTGATGATTATTCTTTTCGACTACTTCGCGATAGGGTTAAAAAAACTGAGAACAAGTGTTATAAGGAATACATAGTGTCTGTTGAAAATTCTATTTTAAAAAATCCTAAACAGTTTTTGTCATACATAAAAAATATCCGCCGTTGTAGCTCTTACCCGTCGACCATGAACTATCTGTCCACCACAAGCAACTCGGCTGAAGGTATCTGCCAGCTATTCAGTTCATATTTTAGCTCCGTCTTTTTAGGCAGTAATAACCAACCTCAGTCTTACCACAACACTGAAGTAGCAAACTCTAAGTGTGACATATCAACTGTTAAACTGAGTGCTCAGCGTATACATGAACTACATACATAAGAAAGGTTCGAAAAATGATATTGTAAACTACAGGCCTATTTCTAAGCTCTGTCATCTAGCTAAAATCTTTGAGCGATTAGTTTTTGATCAAACATTCGAATGTTTAAAAAATGAACTTATTCTTGAGCAACACGGTTTTATCAAAGTTAGATCAACCACGACCAATTTAGTTATCTTTAATGAATATTTAAGTAATAATATGGATAATAATAATCAAATAGATGCAATATATACAGATTATACTAAAGCATTTGATAGAATAGATCACAGAATATTATTATACAAAATGGCAGGTTTGGGCATAGGTGGCAATCTTATTCAATGGTTTGAATCATATCTGACTAATAGAAAGCAAGCTGTTGTTCTAGATGGGTGTTCTTCTAACTGGGTAGATATCCCGTCGGGTGTTCCGCAAGGATCGTTATTAGGACCACTTCTATTTATTTTATTTATCAACGACATTGCTTCCTGTTTTTTAAATTCTAAATTTCTATTGTTTGCTGAACACATGAAGATATTCCGTATTATTAATAATGTTGGAGATGCGTTACTTCTTCAGGAAGATTTAGATAGATTAGACATGTATTGTGAACGAAACAAATTGGACTTAAACGTATCTAAATGCTTTTCTATCACCTTTACACGGAAACGCCACATTTTTATCTTCTCATACAAATTAAAAGGCTGTAGTCTTCAGGCGACTAGTGTGATTAGGGACCTGGGTGTTTTACACGACGGTAAATTGCTGTTTGACCGGCACATCGAACATATTATTGACAAAGCTTACAAAGCACTTGGTTTCATAATTCGCGTTTCCAGACCTTTTAAGCATATGAAAACAATAAAAATTCTCTACTGTGCCTATGTACGCACCCATCTCGAGTTTTCGAGCCAAATTTGGAATCCCTGTTATAATGTCTACAGTAATAACATAGAGAAAATCCAAAAACGGTTTATCAGATACTTAGGTTTTAAATTCAAACTACCTCATCTCGATTACGAACAGCAATGCAGTAAACTACATCTTTTGCCTCTTTCTCTCCGTAGGAAAATAGCTGATATCTGTCTCCTCTTAAATATAGCTCAAAGCAGGTTAGACTGTCCTGATGTCCTTTGCAATATTAAACTTAATGTGCCCACCAGAAATTTGCGTTCCAGTAGTCTACTCCATGTTCCATTTTGCCACAGTAATTATCGGTATAACAGCTACATACCTAGGGTTTCTAGATCTTTTAATAGACTAAACCACAGTGAACTCATAGATCTATTCTGCAGTAGCACCAGAAACCTCAAAAATGTTAAATCTTTAGATCCTAAACTGTTGTAATTATCTATGTATGTGTAAGTCTATTTAGTATGTATTATTATAGATGCCAGCACTGTTTTCTGTCTACATGTGGAAGCTTGTAAATGGCATCTAGATAATTAACATAATATGTATTTTGTAAATTTAGCCGTAAGCTCCCCAAATATAATAAAATAAAATAAAAATGTTCCGATACTACGGGTTCCCCGGGCACCACTTTGCAGTCTCGGACACAAACCAACTTACTTCTTTTTATGAGAAAGTAGTCAATCTGTGTCGCGTGGCTACCACTTTTATACGTGATCAGATGTTCGTGACGTTTTTGGAACCATGTGTTAACTATTGCCAGGTCAAACGAAGAGGAAAACTGAAGCAGAGACTCACCATCAATGTTTCTACTTCCGAACCCCCTTCCTCCATGTACTCTTTCATAATCCTCATTCGTTGTTCCCACATGACCATTAAAATCTCCACCTATCAAAAGTTCTTCACTTTCAGGGATGCCTATCAAAACCATGTCAAAATCGGCCCAAAATTTTTCTTTCACTTCATCCTTGCATCCAGCTTGAGGTGCATACACGCTAACAATATTCATAATTACGCTCTATTTACTATTATTCTATCGTTCACTCTCTTTACATCCGTCACACACTCTTTTAGGGCACTATCCAATACTACACCCACTCCATTTCTCTTCCCATCACTTCCGCAATAATAAAACTTGTACCCCTCTCCTATCTCTCTTGCTTTCGTACCCTTCCATTTTGTTTCTTGCAAGCATGCCACGTTTATTCTTCTTCTTTTCAACACATCTGCTAGCTCTCTCGCTCTTCCAGTCATAGTCCCTACATTCCAACTTGCATACCTCAACCTCACCTCTCGGGCTTGCTTCTTACGTTGCACCCGCCTCGGGTGGTGCAACAACCCTTGTCCACTTATTCGTATATATATTGTCTGATGATAAACAGTCCAAAAGATTCCCTCAGTCGCCTTTTACGACCCCCTAGGGAAGAGATGGGTTGGCCTTATTCTACTCCGCCGAGAACCACACTAACATACTAAATTTTGTTTGAATAAAATACTATATTATTTTATAGAAATTGTAAAATTTCGATTATAATTATTGATATCCTTTAATTGACTAACTAACTACCTACGTAACTAACAGAAGGAGAAAAACTAACGGAATATATTGATAATATAATATAAATTACCTCATACAGTACGGATGGCGTAGTGGTTTGTGTAACGGACTGCTATTCCAAAGGTCGCGGGTTCGATTCCCGCTCAAGTCAAACATTTGTGTGCATGAACATTTAATGTTTGATTTGGTCTGGGTGTTTATGTATAATACTCGTATGTATGTATTTACAAAAAAAAGATATATATGTATTTAAATCGTTGTCTAGTACCCATAGTACAAGCTCTGCTTAGTTAGGGACTAGATGGCGTTGTGTGATTGTGGTAGAATATTATTATTATTACTATTATTAATAGGGGACAAGCCCAGAGGACAGAATACTTAAGAATTCTACTTATTGAAATCGCGTAGTTAGATGGGAGCTCAATGAAAATAATTTGTGAGTGTCTCCAACTCGAACTGGTCGTGGTATGTACTTATCAATCTATATTATATACATATCTTTAATATTTGCATGGGCATAGAAGAGCAGGTGACTGTAATTTATTTCTATAATTTATGTTACAAGTAATACGTGAAACCTATTTCAATAATTTGACACAATTCGCGAACGTCCATCTGATCCCTAACTAAGCGTAACATATACCTCTACATTAGGGTGTCCCGAATTTTTTTTATTCTCATTTTAGCTACTTAAGACCTCTCAAAAGTTGCGCTGTTAGACGTAGATTAGCGTAAAAATAATTCAAAAAATATTTAAAAATATCCTTAGGGCTCTACCAGCATTTTTATTTACTGAAAATTCGAAAAAACAACCTTGTAGTCAATGTCGTATATTCTATGTTTTATGAATCAATCCTGTTTTGTCTTGTAATTTTATCAATAAGAAAAGCCTCGGCTATGATATGCAAGTATCCGCAGGTTGTTTTAGCGATCAATCGGTTTGGATCGGACTTGCAAAATTCCTACAAAATTCATGTTTTGACTTGATTTTCTTACGTGCGCTACTTCTACAACAAGACAGTTCGTCTCATTTCTATTTCGATTTTACTCTTGTAAGGAGTTGTTCTATTCTTCTTTGAAAGAAAAACGTAATTTACGATACTTAATCATAAAAATGTGTTCAAGGCGAATTGAGACTACTTGTACTATATTGGGACCTTATAAAGAACTTGACGATCGCCAATTACCCGTTATAAAAGACGTTATTAAGTGCATTTTATTTACTAAAAGTGAATTAAAACTACAGAAAAACGGAAAAGATCCATCGAACACAGAAGTCTTTTCAATAGTTTCTGGAAAACTTAACACAATTTGGACCAAAGCTTCAATTCCCATCGTTTCTAACGTACGGGTTACTCAACTGCTAACCGCATATTTTAACAAATATTTATCACTAATAAGATATCCTAAAAGTAAGAGAAACGATAGCTATGACAACAAAGTTAAGTGCTTTTTGGAATCGTCAAATAAGCTTTTTGACATCGCTGCTTGTAAGTGCACTACGTTTGAAAATTGTTCCTGCACTAAACCCAAGAAAGTTCCCATTTCTGAAAGAGATTTTTTACTGGACCAAAGAAATGATAGGAAAATGGCAATAAGCGGCGTAGACGCAAAAGAAACTGCAAGGCTTTTAAAGAAACATCAAAGACAAGAAAATTTGAAGCGGACAGAGCAAGCATGTTTTCCGAGTACTTCACAAACCGATACTGTACCGGTACGCGTGTTGCCGCCTCGTTCACAGTCGCTTTCAATAG